TATTGCTCCTATGTGTAGGGCAATCTTGTAACATGGAGAAGCAAAAAAACAGCCCTTTGTATCAAGAAGCTCAGCTGAATCTAAATATCGAGCATTATCCTTAGGGGTGTGTAACTCCGCCTATGTTTATAGCCGGTCCCAAGCCCGGGTAAAGGAGGAGGGTTGTGTTAGGCCATCAACAGCCAATGTAAAAATTTGTTGAATCTATCATGAACATGGACAATAGACGTTATAATGTTAATGCTAGGTCGTTGCCCGTAAGTAACGCGCTGCATGGCTCGAGTACAGTGATAAGTGAGTTAGAGCCGCTGCATCGGCGCCCGGATGTAGTGTTAAATGAGCAAGGGCTACCGCGTCATTCTGGACGCACGCGGCTAAAGAAGTTAGTCCATAAGAGCAAAATTAGATTTGGTACTTGGAATGTTGGGACATTAAATTGTAAATCTGTAGAGGTTGTAGGGGTTATGATTCAAAGGAAAATCAATATCATTTGCTTGCAAGAAACAAAATGGCGTGGAGAAGAAGCTAAGGATATTCAAGGTTTCAAACTTTGGTATACAGGAAAAGTAAGTGCACGCAATGGAGTAGGCATCATTATAGATAAGGAGTGGAAGAAGAACGTTGTAGCAGTTAGCAGAATTGGAGATAGAATTATTTCTTTAAAAATGATAATTGGACGTGAGACTGTTAATATTATTAGCGCTTATGCGCCGCAAGTCGGGACAGAAGCCAGTCTTAAGGAATTATTTTGGGAGGATCTAGAGGGGTTGATTCGACACATACCACAGAGTGAAAAGATTTTTATTGGAGGAGACTTTAATGGGCATGTCGGGAGGGAAGCTGGTCAGTATGCGAGGGTGCATGGTGGTTTTGGTTTTGGAGAGCTAAACAATGAAGGACAAACTCTTCTTGATTTCTCATTGGCGTATGATTTTAAGATTGCCAACACTTGTTTCAAGAAGAGAGATGAGCATCTCATCACTTACAAAAGTGGAGCCTCAAGGTCGCAGATTGATTTTCTTTTGGTTAGGAACACAGATAGAAAACTTTGTAAAAATTGTAAGGTGATACCCGGAGATGCTGTAACGACACAACATAGGGTCCTAGTCCTTGATGTGTGTATTATGAGTAAAATCCAAAAACGTCGACAAGTAGTAACACCAAGGATTAGATGGTGGCAATTAAAAGGTGAGAAGCAAGATATTTTCAAGCGAAATCTTTTGGATAAAGGAATTTGGGATTCTCAGGGAAGTGCTAACATTATATGGGAGGATATGGCTAAAAAGATACGGGAGGTTGCAAAAGTAGTTTTGGGAGAATCGAAAGGTTCTGGTCCGAGAGATAAGGAGTCTTGGTGGTGGAATAATAGTGTACAGGACAAAATCAAGTATAAGAAGAACTGTTTTAAAGCCATACATTTGTGTAACAATGAGGAAAATTGGGAGAGGTACCGTATGGCTAAGAAGGAAACTAAGAGAGCTGTGGGTGAAGCTCGTTCTAAAGCTTTTGAAGAATTTTATAAGAACCTTGAGACGAAGGAAGGAGAGCAAAATATTTATAAGATTGCCAAGAGTAGGGAAAGAAAATCAAGAGATCTAGAACAGGTAAGGTGTATTAAGGATGAAGAGGGAAGAATTTTAGTTACAGATGATGAAATTAAAAATAGATGGGAGACTTATTTTTCTAAACTTTTCAATGATGGAGAGGATTCATCTAGTAACTTGGAGGATTTAGTAACTGGTGAAGGAGAACAAAATTTGTCATTCTATCGAAAAATACGTGATAAGGAGGTAAAGGAAGCTCTTAAGAAAATGGCAAATGGTAGAGCCAACGGACCTGATTGTATATCTATCGAAGCGTGGAAATGTTTAGGTGAAGAAGGGGTGAGATGGTTAACTAAGTTATTTAATGTGATTTTACGGTCCAAGAAAATGCCTGATGAGTGGAGGAGAAGTACATTAATTCCTATTTATAAAAATAAAGGAGATATTCAGAATTGTACTAACTATAGAGGGATTAAACTCATGAGCCACACAATGAAATTGTGGGAGAAAGTAATTGAGCACAGGTTGAGATTGGAGACAAGTATTTCTGAGAATCAATTTGGTTTTATGCCAGGTAGATCAACTACAGAGGCGATTTATCTACTAAGGGGATTAATGGAAAAGTATCGTTGTAAAGATAAAGATCTACACATGGTTTTTATTGATTTGGAAAAAGCTTATGACCGTATACCAAGAGAAGTGCTTTGGAAAGCGTTGGAAAAAAAGGGAGTACGGATTGCTTATATTAAAGCCATACAAGATATGTATGAGGGGGTAAAAACTAGTATAAGAACGCCTAGTGGTCAAACAAAGGATTTTCCTATAAAGATTGGACTACATCAGGGATCATCTCTGAGTCCTTATTTGTTTAACTTGATTTTAAATGTTTTGACGGAACATATTCAAGAGGAAATCCCGAAATGTATGCTCTTCGCGGATGATATAGTTCTTATAGCAGAGACAAGAGAAGAGGTTAATTGCAAACTTGAGTTATGGAGGAGGACATTGGAGTCGAAAGGTTTTCGTCTGAGTAGAAGTAAGACGGAATATTTATATTGTAAATTTGGTAAAGGACTATTCGAAAATAATTTGGAAGTGAAATTGGGAGATCAAATTATACCTCAAGTGGAAAAGTTTAGATATTTGGGAGCCATTATTCAAAATGATGGCGAAATCAGTGGAGATATTTCACATAGAATTCAAGCTGGGTGGTTTAATTGGAGAAAAGCTAAAGGAGTTATTTGTGACCGTAAGGTGCCTAATAAACTTAAAGGAAAGTTTTATCGTACTGCTATCAGACCGGCAATGTTATATAGTAGTGAATGCTGGGCTCTAACGGGACAGCAAGAGCATAAAGTTGGAGTAGCAGAGATGAGAATGTTACGATGGATGTGCGGACATACACGTAAAGATAAAATTCGAAATGAGCACATACGCGAAAAAGTGAGGGTGGCACCTATTGAGGAAAAAATGGTAGAAAATCGGTTGAGATGGTTTGGGCATGTACAAAGAAGACCAAGGGAGGCACCAGTGAGAAGAGTGGAACATATAACTTTGAGTCCGATTAAGAGAGGTAGAGGAAGGCCTAAGAGAACACTCTTGGAAGTTGTTGAACGTGATCTCTTAATTAATAATATTTCTAAAAGCTTAATAAATGATAGAGCACAATGGCGTCTTGCAATCCATGTAGCCGACCCCACCTAGTGGGATAAAGGCTTGTTGTTGTTGTTGTTGTTGTTGTTGTATCCTTAGGGGTGTGTGAAGGAATGTGGCTCATTAGACTTCTAAGAGAGTTGAAGATGGATGTAAATTCTCCGATAAAGGTTTGGAGTGATAACATGTCAGCCATAAAAATTGCCAAAAATCCGATCCAACATGATCGAATGAAACATGTAGATATTGATCAACACTTCATCAGGGAAAAAATTAAGGACAAGATAATTGATTTAGCATATATCCCTTATGGTCAACAAATTGCTGATGTGATGACAAAATCATTGACTTAAGACAAGTTCGAATGATCTAGAAGCAAGTTGAGAATGATTAATATCCACTCGCCAACTTAAGGGGGAGTGTTGGAAGTGGGCTTGCTTAGGCCCATTAGAAGTGTCTGACCTAAGTTACCTAATATTGATTATTAGAATATTTTCTTTTTATGTTTTATATCCCCAAATTTATGGGATTTTCCAGTTTTAGTTTTGTTGCCTGATACGATCAGATTTGACCATACCTCCTGCACCTATATGTACTTGGTTCTTCAGTGAAATAAGAAGAAAACTTACTCAAATACTAGCAATAACCAAATGTTGGTTTACATGTATAGGCTACAATATGCAATTGACATAATGAACATGCTAGGTGGTCATCATTTTAATTAACATAACAAATTGAAGTAAAGCTCTAGATCACCCAGAGAGCCATAACACGAGTCATATGATGGTCAATTGGTTACATGGATAACTGTGACTATCAATTTTGAAACCAAAACTTAATTTTAAAATTTAACTATCACTATACTTGGAAGTATCTTGAGTGTTGACACTCACAGAGCAATAACAGAAGGAAGGAAGAAACACTAAAGGTGTGTTTGGATTTTAGTTTGGTATAATCGGTTATGACAAAAATTGATTAATATGATTGGTTTTGATTATAATTGATTGCATTATAATGTGATTGCGTTTGGATATTATTTTCTTGAATTGATTTTGATAAAATTAAACATATTAGCATGACTTTAGACAAAATTAATTTTAGATGTGAAAATTACAATAAAGGACATTGTCTTTTATAATAATGTGATTAAATCTGTTAAATTTTATCTAATAAATAAAATGAAATATGTAATAGCTATAATTTTGACATGCAATGATTAACACACACACACACACACACACACTGATTAACAAAAGCCACCAGTTCACCCTGAATCAATAAATTTGAATTAAATGGATAGTTGGTATTTAACACATACATACATACATATACATATCACCCATCCCTCTCTTATGTTGACCTACCCCAAAACACCACTGCCATTCGACAATATCAAAAAGCACCATTTTTCAGGGTTAAAATTGGAGAGTTAAAATTACTCTGACAACAATAACAACTCCAAAGTGGTAATTGATTCTCAAGCTGCAGAGAATAGCTTCCTTCACAATGGAGGTTTTTAGCCAAGCGTAATTAATGAAAATTTTGGGGTGTTTGGGTTTTTTTTTTTTTTTTTTTGGGGGGGGGGGGTTGGTTAAAACCATGGTTTTGATAGGCATAATTGATTAATTGGGGGTATTCAAACAGGCACTAACATAAACTAGAAACAACTTGAGCACAAGAGAAATTCAAATTCAAATCCAAAGAGATCATAAAAAGAATATGAATAATAACAAAGCATAAAATTGCACCAATAAACACATTCATATACTCAAATCAAATAATATATATTCATGTACTTGATACCTGGGTGATGCCAGAACTTTTCGCTGGTCACCTCTCGTATAAGGCGTTCTACTGATGTATCCTGAGGCACAGTGTTCACAGGAGTTTGCTTCTTGATAGAAAAATGTTTTTTGTTTCCAAGCTTCGCATCATTAGAGCTCTGACCAGGCAGACCCAACTTCTTACTCAAAACAGGCACATTCTTTTGCTGCCTCAAATCTATTGGCTGTTTCCATGAGTTCTGTCTTGGAACAGGATGCAAATTGACGCCTGTTGAAAGTTCATTTTCACTATTTAGCCTCTTAGGCAAACCTATGAGTCCAGAATTATCACCATTACAGTCAGATTTAGGTTCATAAGTATCATTATGGGTGCCACCTTCACCAGAAGATATGTCAGCCTGTTTCTGATCCTTTACTACTCTAACACGATCAACTGGTGCAGGAATATTGCGGACTTCCTTTACAACACACTTTATAGCAGATGATGGGACAGTCTGCCTTCTTGGAGTTGAGGTTTTAATAGGACCTGCTTGCATGGCATCTTCCATATTAAGAACCACAATCTGTCTATTCCGTTTCTTTCCCAACATTTCCTCTTTCCGTTGGTCTATCTTCCTCTTTCCAGGATTATTTGCACCTTTAAGTGCATGCACTGCTTCAATACCTTTCACTTCTTTTTGTTTGGGAATTGAACTAGTTTCATCCTGTGCATACACTGAAGCTTCACCTTTTACTCTGTACTCAGAATTTGGCATATCATTATTTTTTTGTTCAACGCCACCAGATTCAAGACCAACAGAACCATGACTATTCTTTTCATCAGTTGCACTATCAGAAACTTTAATATTGTTAGAGTTACTGTCCACTGCTGCATAAAAACGTCCCTCTGCTGTTTCAGATACAGCTTGCTCTTCTGAAGTTTTGCCTTGATGAAGCAAATTATTACAACCCTTCACATTACCAGAGACCTCAGCATCAGACCATTCCCCCTCTTCTCTCTCCAAAAATTGAGAATTTGCAGAATTCAGTATTTTTGGCTCCATAACTCTCATATCCTCATCTTTACTATTCTTAGATGATAAGTAAGCATTTGCATTATGATCTCCTGATCTCAATGACCCATAATCTCCTTCAGGGATACAAATTGTTTTAGACCGAACAAAAGGCTGAAATCCTGAGAAAGAAGATGCATGTGAAAAGGCACGATTATTTACTATCCCTTGGATACCTGCTGATTTCACAAGCAAGTCAGAAGCATGGAGATTTGCAGATGGGAGTGCCTTTTGAGGCCGGAAGGAAAAGGAATCATCCTTCTCATCACTATCCTCTGCAGGTGGTTCATTGAGATCAAAAAATGGCCTTTCACGAGAACCCATCTTATATGCATATGCTTCCAAACTAGATTGTGAATAAAAACTAGATGAACAGGCACTACTCTTTTATGTTTAAAGAAAAATGTCTATGGTATGCCCAAGACAAATTGAGGTTGGGATCTGCAAGTCAAGTGAAGCAAAAATTAAAATTAATAAATGCTTTAACAAAGGGGAAGAATCAACAGATTTAGTGCCAATGTTTCAAGGAATAAACACCCAACATAAATTCATACAGTGAGTCAACAAATATACAACTAAAAAGAAATTCACATCAAAATACATCTACTAGTTTGGGGAAAATGTTAAAACTCATGTTTTAATAAACAAGCTCTCAAATTCTTCCTCTGAAATGTTATCAAAAAAGGTTGGTCAGGTGCCAGAGCACGACTAGATGTTGAGAACAATCAAACTGATAAATAAAAGAAGATTTCAATAACAAAATCCTGTCAAGATTCAAATTCTAAGTATCCAAATGACAAATCAAATCAGTTTGATAGCACCTCTAGTATAACAAACTAAAGACTCGAGCGAATTTGATGTGCCTATCAACAATGGTCCTAAAACTCCAACCCAAATAAGGGGGAAAAGAAGCTATATTCAAGAATTAGATCAAGAGGGCAGAAGTAGACAATCCCACCTAGGCCATTGAAACATGTCAATTTGCAAAAGAGCAGAACACATTCCAAGCTCGGACAATAACAACTTCAACTCCTTGCCCCTCAAATCATCCTCCATCATAATCAGTAAATTTTCCAAAGGCTAATCCGACAATAAACTGCATATGGTGAAACTACCCATCGTCTAAGGTTTTCATAATCAACAAAGCTCGCTCCACTTCTCAACCCTTCCAAGATAAGCCAACAACCTTAACCAACATCTATATGCACGCAATCCCTTATAAAGATCAACCAACAATTGTTTAACACCACAAGCACATCAGCAATAATGCACTAATCTAATAGTCAGCACTGCAGAATCAGCAATTCTCTTCCTACCGTTATTTATGCTACTAATTCCTATACGAGATATCCATCAGTAGATTATCACGAAAATATATAAAATAACAAAATTAATAACCCACAGAAAAAAAAATCTGATCTATGGATGGGGTGCAAGCAGGGGTGTATGTGGGCTAAGCTGGGCCAAGTATTGTCCTGGCCTGGCTTACAAGACCACCAAATGACAACTTTTCTTATCCAGGAAAGACGCAATTAAGGAAGTTAAAAGGAGAAAATAACTAAGGGAAGACAATGGACAGTAGTAGAAAACACAGTTAATAATCAAATCATATTATCCTCTCCATGTTTTATGTAATTAACTGGGATCTATGATTGGGTTGAACGAGGCGAATGATCTTCCTACATATGATTGAATAAAGCGCTAAATACAAGAGGAAAAATATTAAAATTCAAACATACAGTTTAATTACCATATATTATCATTCAGCTGCCCCAAAGACCATTCACAATATCCGATCACCAAAAAAGTAATACCCACATTCGAATCGGCAAATGTCGCGTAAATCATAATCGGCAAATGTCGAAAATCAGAATTTAACGTGGCGTACCAGTGTCTTGCGGCAGTTTGCGAGGAAGTGATTGGCGAGAAGAGGAGAATTGCATCTGAACAGCGGATAAGAAACAGAAGCCCAGACACCAGATTGCACTCCACCAAGCCGCCAGGCCAGAGGAGAAGACGGCCGGAACAGCCAGTGTCCGACACCACAAGAAGGCGAGGCCAGAAGCCAAGAAGCACTTAAGAGCGAAGACTGAACTTGAGAGCACGAGGCACAAAGGAACGCCAAAAATTAAATAAGAATTTAGGGATTTAGCAGGAACAGGAGCACCCTGATCTGACGCTGAGCCTCCTCCCTGAAAGTCTTAACCAGATTGGGTGAGCGGTAAAGACGCACGATGTCGTTTTAAATACGTCGTCGAAGGAAATTACTTTAGTTTGGTAGCCATATTAGTTGGACAATCTTGCCTTTGCCCAACCTGGCAGCGGCTTTTAAAAAGTTCCTTCGAGAAAATTTTATTTAAGGACTATAGTGACCAGTTAATTTACTCTGCAAGATTTTGGGGTTGAACTTAAATAGATTGCTCTAGCAAAATGACTGAAATGTCCTTCATTGGCAAAAGGAAAAATAGGCAGACTATCGAGGAAAGAAAACTCGCGCCAAACTAACTCGACATGCATTCTGTTATTTCTCAACATTCATGCTAAAGACAGGCTTGTAAATCACGTCATAGCGCATCTTTCTCCTTCTACAGATCGCGCCGTTGGTTAATTTAATGGAGTCTAGTTTTGAGTATTTTAGACAGTTTCATAGGAAGTTGCCCAAATGGAGGATAGAGCTTTAGTAATCATTTGTGTGGAAGCTGGGGCGGAACCAACACAAGATTTCAAGGAGGCCAAAGTTAGATTACACAATCCTAAACAAATGATTATATATATGCACATACACTTCATCCATCTTATTTACAAAGCAGTTTTAATTTATTTTGTTGGAATCAAAAAAGAAATTACAAATCAGTAATTCTTTTTAAATACTTAAAAAGTTTTTCAACTTTGCTTTTATTTAATATACAAACTTTATCAATATATTTTTTCTTACCAACATTTGCCTTTCGTTTGGATTAAAGAAAATAGTTAGGAATGAAAGAAAATTAGGAGAGAAAACTCTTAAAAATAGTTTTTTTTAAAAGTACAATTTTTAAAAATTTCTCTTCTGAGTTTTCTCTTGTCCCTATCTTCTTTCCACATTTCCCTTCATCTTAATGTAATAAAGAAAAAAAATAAAATAAAAAATTAATGATATGCCTATAAATAAGATTAAAAAATTATTTTATCCATGTAAACACTGCATTCTGTCCGGACATTTTTATTTTTTTAAATTTAATAAAAATAATAATAAATAATTAAAACATATAAAAAACACAAAAATAAAATTTAATCCTTTTTAGGATTATATTTTCAAAAAAAATAATGATAATATCTAACAAAATTTTAAAAAAATAATCTTGCTTAAATCTTTAAAAATCTCTCCCAAATCATCCCAACTATTCAAAATATTGGGAATCAATTTTTAAAAGTCAACTTTTTAAATTTGATTGTTTTTCATAAAAATAAATATGCATGTCAAAATTAAATTTTTCCCTCTCTCCCTTAATATGATTAACACAAAAAAGGCATTAAAATAAAAAAAATATAGAAATGGGGTGGGTGAAATTTTCACCCAGCCCAAGATTGCTTCCAGCACAGCCAAAACGAAACAAGCTCCTCGGCCAGGCGTAGAAAAAACAGACACACGAGCAGAGAAAAGAACCTGCCAAACACAGTAGCGTGAAAATAGCATAGAAAAAGTAGACACAGTGAACACACGAAACACACGCACAGCACGTAAGCTTTTCACACACAACTCTCCCTGTTTCTGCTTTAAAACAGATGAAAAAAGACCGAGTGAGAGATACACGAGAGAAGGATAGAAAATTGGAGAGGAGATGGACATGAAAATGGAAGAAAAACAGAGCATGCAAGTGAAAAAAAAATGCAGAGAAAAATAAAAAAACAGAGCACGAGAATGAAAGCAGAAAACCGACGAAGGAGAAAGTAATAAAGCACAGAAGAAGCCTGAACAAAGAAGAGGAGAGCTTCAGCGAAAAAGCGCACGAGAACCAGGCGAAGAAGACGGAAGAAAAAAATAGAGACCGAGGAAGAGAAGGGAGAAATCGAGGAAGAGAAAAACAGAGCATCGAGGAAGGAGAGAGCGCTATCCGAAACTAAACGAGAAAGTAGAGGCAAAAAAAAACAGAGAGACGTGAAGAGAGAGAGAGCGGTGCTCTATTTTTGTTTGTTTCCTTCGTTCTTCTACTTCGTCTTTGCCTCCTTCTCTTCCATTTTCAGCCATCACCAATGAGAGTATTGTCACCGTTTATTTCGTCCACTGTTGACAAGTGTTGGGGATTCATTTGTAGCCACTAAACATCGACAAAAACCCTTCCGAACCCTTCCGTTCTTCTCTGTTTCAATATCACCGTGCACGTCTTGTTTTTTTTCCCTTCTCTACTCTGCTATTGAACCAAAGAATGCAGCAGTAAGAAACAAGAAAAATAAAGTAAAAAGCTGCTAAGCAAAGTTGGAGCTCCTTACCTTAGCAAAAATCTTCACCAACCAGACAAGTACACCGAGGACAGCAAAGTGCAAGATAATAAGGAGAATGAGAATGATATCTGCCTGAGTTTCACATCATCATAAGGATAGCAGCAGATGTTTGATAAAGGTTAATAACTACCCTGACCTTTCACATGTACAAAAATTGAGCTTTAGGTTTACCCCCGATTTTGGTCTAGAAGGATTGTTTGGGGCGTGTGTGAGAGAGAATTTTAATTAACTCTTGTGTTGAAATTTATTTTCAATATTTTAATTATACATAAAATTTTATGTTAAACATATATAAATTTTACCATACAGTATTAAAATTAAAGAATTAAGAAAATAAAATAAAATTTTATATAAAGTTAGAAAAATAAATATATTTTAGATTCTTGATGATACTTCCTTGTATTTGAAATAAGGAAATTTGGAAGTTTTGAAAGTTTAAGTATGGATAGGGAATATTTAAGAAAATATTTGAAGAGAAAGTAGCTTTGTATCATTGTGTTTTCTTTCTCTAAATCATGCTGTGTATCTTAAATATGCTTTAATGTGTGTTTATTTGCTTTTACAAATGAGGTTCATTTAGTTATAATACTTTCCCATGATGCTTTTGATTCTAACATTTGAAAAAAAATATTGTTAAGCTAAGTGATAAGTTAAATTCAAGTTTGTCTTTTGGCTTGAAAGAGTATTAATTGTAATGTTCACCTTGGCATTACCAAAATTCACTACAAAATCACAACAAACAATCATAATTAGGAGCAAGGATTCGCTCCTAATCTCACTTATATATATAAGGGTTAAAACTAATAATCTTTTAAAAATAATTGAGGAATATTTGGGATCCCATAAAAACCCTTTAAATTTATAGTTTGAGCCAAACTTAATGTTTTAAATAGGTATTGGAAGCATGGAAAAGTTTTGGGAAGCAACCTACTTCAAAACAATTCCAAAAATGTCATTTTTGAGTGTTTTGGTCCATGCGCCACGGCTCGTGGTCCATACGCCGTGGCATGTGACATAGAAAGCCATGTTTTCTAGCTGTACCGTGCGCTGCAGCTTGCACGAAATGCGCCGCGACACACATGTCCATGACAGCAATGTTGTCGTGATAGCTTTTCTGGATGAACTTCGAACGCGCGCCATTTTCACATCCAATGTCCGATTGGAGTGATTCAAGCACCCACGCAAAGCTTATTCAATAAGTCAACTAATGGTACAAGTTTTGTTACGATCTAATACCGTATGAGAATTTTAAATACTCGGATGCAAAAGTCAGTTTTTAAAGAGGTTTTTCGAGCATCCAAGTACCTAAAACTCATAACTTATACCGTTTACCCATTGTGAGGCTTGAACCAAGTCTAATGGATCAAAATACACTTGAGTGACCAATCAAACACACAAAAACATACCAAATACAAAATTTGGCCACTCAATGGCCATTTTGCCCAATATGGCCAAAATACACAATTAACACTACAAGCACTAATTGGCCTCTATTGCCACATAATACCCTACAAATATATTTTCACCACATAGATAAAATATTCTTTGCACTTGTATTAGTATTTTAGCTCATCACACAAAAATTACCACATATTTACCTTATATACAATATTGGGCTAAAATACACCACAACATAGTAATGAAACAAGTGCAACCAATTAAAATGATATGTATTTCTAGTTGGAAACATATAATATCATATAATAAGTTTATGTACACTACTCAAATTGAAATCAGGCTTTACAAAAAGTGTAGCAGATATGCTAGCCCCTGCCCGATTCCCTTCTTGGCTCAATCTCACTAGTAGTACCTATAAAATGATAACCATGGGATGAGATAAAAATCTCAGTAACTAAGATAATCTACATTATTGATTAACAAGCCAAGTTATAAACAAGCATTAAAATAAGTAATATAATCACATTATATAAGATCACCATAAATTCACATGCATGATCCCTAACCATCCGGTCCTCCAATACTTCCGACCGAACCAGTAGGGTATTTCACAAAACCAAACCACATGTATGGCCCCCAAGCTCACCATCCATGGTAGGACTACCGGCCAAGGTGTCCTAAACCACTTCTGGACTACTGTTTCCCTATTATAAATAATTGGGGTGTCGTTACTCCAACACCACATCCTACGGATACTAAGAAGCATAGTCTCCAACTCCGCACCCTTTTGGGTACTAAGGAGAGTAAGTCTCCAACACCACACCCATTTTTGAGTACTAAGGAGATTAAATGCTGCACCTGGTGTCCCAAGGTGCCAGTAATGCCATATAAACTTAATCTTTACTATCTCCACTAGGGTGACCTCCCACCCTCTAATATGCCACATTTCACTACATATCTCCACTTAACCATGTATAAATAACTTTCCAAACAAATATAACAAATCTTATCATTTACTTCAAAATATAAATTTTACAAACCAATACTCCACTCATTTTCTAAAATAGTTAACCTTTAAAGAATTTATACATATATACTCAACAAATCATAGAAAAGCACTTGAGAATAACTTATACAAGGTAATAAACAATGCAAATTATCTAATTACCTCAACCCTTTTGTTACTAAAAGGGTTACCCGTGGTACTAATTCTCTTCTTGTGTCAAGGTAAGTCTTCTCACACTACAATCTAGAACAACAAGTACTATATGTTAATTTTCAATTAACACAAGCACTATTAACTACCAATAACCTCCCAATTTTCCCACTTCTCACTCATATTCTCAACAAAGAGGCTTGTTAAGATTAGAATTTGTTCACACCATCCCTTTAAGTCACTTTCTAACTCCATCACAATATAAAACTCAATATCTCAACTTATCACACTTCAACACCCTATGATCAAGTTAAGGTTTGATCCAAAATTTACCAAACAAAAAAGTAGCTTCCTATTACCACATATCCAAGATCAATAAACCTAAATTAAACCTTTAAAGTCAATAGAAACCTTCAAAACATTGACTCATGGCTTAATCCAATCAGACCAAATTCTCACTCTTCCAAATCCCATGGAAAATGAGATGAAAAGGTAGAGGAGAAGGGTAGAAAACTTACCCAAGAGTTTGAAGGCTCAAATCATCTTCAAAATCCTCCTAAATTGATGCCCTAGTAGTGCCCAAAGTTTCTCCCTTTGTGCTTTAGGTTTTCCACCCCAAAATCTATCAATTTTTGATCATTTCTGAAAATTTAAGTTGCCTGCTGTGCCACGCGCTGCAGCGCACACCATGCAAGCTGCAGCTCACGACACAGCGAGCAACAAGTTGATTTTGCTCCTCCTGATGCCTCTCGACTTAATCCGACTTTTATCCTATCTCAATTTAGAGCCAAATATGACCCAAAAATTCAATTAGCCACCAAAAAATATAATTAAATAAATTAATCATATTTTTAACTAATTTATCCTTTAATTAATCAACTTTTCCAGATTTAAAGTTTTAGGATGTTACATTAATCAAATTAAATTTGATTTCTATTTCTTTATTTCTCAAAGTTATACATTATTTTGTGTTTAATTTCAATTTGAGATTAATGGAATAATTATTGAAGGTAATTTTGATTTTAATGATATGATTTTCATAGAGGGATTTTAAATGTGTGGTTAAACATACAAATTTTATTTTGTTATTATTTTCCAAATATAATTATAATCAATTAA